TGAGTACGCGGAGTATCTGGGGAGCTGGAAGATGAGAACTGGCGACTTGGTAGGACAACTGTAGTACGCGGAGTATCTGGGGAGCTGGAAGATGAGATCTGGGACCCATACACACACAGACATAGATACACACACAAAGACCCACACAATGCCTCAACACACTCGACTTAACACTTCACACTGAACACTTAACACAGAACTCACACTCTGACTTCATACGTGATGAAAAGTGCTTTCGGGCCACTCGTCGTCTAGTTTTTTAAATCAAGGATTCTGGCCTTACCATATGAAAGTTTTTTATATAATAATCTTAGTCACTTGGTCAAGGAAGAATAAATACCATCGAGTTTGAGACGCCCGCTGCGTCATAGCGTGGGTGTGATGCGCGCATCTCCAACCTATAAGAGCGATGGCCTCCATGCTGGGTGACTTTGCCGATGTCGCTTTTTTGTGTTGCGTGGTTCTCGAAGGCGACATCAGCGAATCCCACATTTCGCAGGTTGTGGCCAGCGGTGCTGCAATTCTTGGCCTATGAAGGCCATGGAATTTATGTGAGGGGGCAAGAGCCAAGCAATGATCACCGCTCCCTTTCTTGGGCTCGTTCATATAGTTATTTGGGCAAGGACGCTACTAGGGGCTCGTGGTCTTACTACTAGGAGCAAGAAGCTACTAGGGGCTCCTGGCATCACTACTAGGAGCGATCGGACGCTACTAGGATTTGATTGGCACCAAGTGCTTCAACCGGCTTTCGCTCAGCCGCAGGCCTCGACCTGCGACAGGGTAGGGCACCAGAGCACTTCTTGCGCAGGCGTTGGGGGGGGTTGGGCTCAGCTTGGATGGCCATGTTGGAAGGGTACCGGATTGGCGCATGCAAGGTTACCATGTTGCACGGTCGCACGGTGTTCAGAAAGATATGTCAGTCGGAGTGGAAAAGGATTCACCGTTGTGTGGGAGGTGTTCCCCAATTCCCTCCTTGGTTCCTGAATGACATCGCTAATTACTAGGAGCTCCTCGCCTTACTACTAGGAGCAAGAAGCTACTAGTAACAAGGGCATCGCTACTAGGAGTAACAAGAAGCTGCTTCTTCTCGTTCTGCGTCTCCCATTTCTGTCACGCCCAGGTTCCTTGTGGACCAGGCGGGTGCACGGTGCTTGAGGGGAACAGTTGATTGAGTGCCAAGGAGAACCGATCATGGCAACTGGAGTATCACAACGTATCAAACAAGAGATACCATGATTTAAATTGTGGCCATAAACATACCATACATTACCATACTGCAGAGCATCAACCAGACTATGAGATCCTGATCATGCTCCCTCTCTGTACGGACACTTTCGTACGGCGTACGGTTTGGTACCCGGTACCCTGAAGATTGACTGAAACCACCTTTCTTTGGTTGGGGCCCTGTCCCTTCGTCTGACAACCACATTGCAACATATTCAGTGATTAATGAGCACTGGCTCCGAGAAAGATCACCAACATTTGCTGGCTAAGCCAAACGCTTCGTTGGGGCAGTTTGTGAAGAACATCCGCCGAATCTTTGGGTCTTCGTTTGGTAAGGACCCTAGTAGGTTGGAGGCCATTGCTATTAGGTTGGAGGCCATTGCTAGGAGGCCATTGCTTCCAGGTTGGAGGCCATTGTTTGTGAAGAAGATGATTTCGGTCTTTGGATGAAGCTCAAAGACCTAGGACCACTTGGTGGCCTACAATGGGCTGGTGGCCAGGAGCCTCAGCGGGCGAGTTGGAGTTCTGAAGGTCTGGTGGAAGGGGCGAATGAGGTTCTGAAGATCAGGGGGTACGCAAAAGCATCCACCTGCCACCTAAAGACGGAGAGCAAAGTGCGCGAAAAAGCTCCTAGTAGCGTCCGATCGCTCCTAGTAGCGATGCCCTTTGCTCCTAGTAGTGTCCTGTACGCATGGTTCTGGGACTCTCCAGGAGATTCTCCGAAGCCGGCGGATCCGTCGGTTGGAGTACTTCATCCTCACTCCGGGTTCGAGTTAGAAAAGGATTGGTGAGTGGCAACCCTTTGAGGATCGAACGTGATGTGCTGTGAACATCGCACATCATATTTTTGTTGGACCCAAAACTTCCAATGTGCATTGAACTATGCTCTTGTCTAACCTACAGCAGATTGCTGTCTCCAAAGCAAAGTGACCTTCTTTCCTATCAACGCGCTCGCCCTGAGCTTACAAAGAGACAGATTCGCCAAAGGTTTCTGGACACCTCACACAAAGAATACTTAGGACCAGAGTGTCGAACGTGCTCCTTTTGGATTCCGTGACGCTCACTGGAGGTCATGACAGACTTTGAGCTGTTGCGTGTCTCCTTCTTTAAGCCCGGCTCTGACTACTTCCGCTTCTACAGGCTGGGACTGATTCGGGGAATAGACCTGAGACAGCTTCTGAGGTCGTTTGGATCTCCTTTTACAGCCATTATAGCGAGGTTGCACTAGGTGTCACGCGTTGTCACTATCCAATACGTCCTGAGTTCTTACAAGACAGCTTACATGTAGAGAACATGGACATGGCCGATGCCATTTTACAGGAAGTCTTCAATGGGCGGATGCCCCTCGTGATTGGGCCTTTCCGCTGATTTTTGTTTCAAAGAAATCAGTCTTTGATCCTTTGACCCCGCAGGAAGCACGGTCGAAAGGCTTTGCCCGGACGGACGCCACGACCCACATCCGAGAACCATCCTCCAACATCGACACCGATGAAAATAGGGCGAAATGGTGCGACATGTAGATCTAGGGGCCCACAGATCGCACACTCAGCAGGCTGGTCGTAGTCGTTGCCATTTGGAACCCCCTCAAGTGTTTTCCTCACTGCGCAGACTCTGAAAGAGACCTGAGTGGATGCGGGTCGACGATGGCAGCGGCATGAGGATGTATTTGTAGACGGAAGACCTCCCAGCTCGGCCCCTGGGACCCGATAGACTTCTTGTTACTACTAGTAAGGCACCTGTTCCTAGTAGCGTGGCACTTGTTACTAGTAAGCTTCTTGTTACTAGTAGTAAGGCACTTGTTACTACTAGCGTGGCACTTCTTACTAGTAGCGATGCACTTGTTACTACCAGTCTCCTGGCGATCTCGCAGCTTTCGTTGGTTTACGAAAAGCCAACTTCTGCGTGCCCAATCTGATCTGTGAGACTTATGGGCAACCACATACCATCACATAACCCTTCTCTATAAAGGATCAATCTTGCGCCCTTGCGGGCCGCTGGGACAGGTTCATTGATGAACTGGGCGGCTTTTGGCTTTACCGCTGGGGAGTCGGGCGCCTCAGAGCTCCAAGAGAGCTGGCACTCGTGGGGTGGGTTGGACCGCACAGGTCCCTGCAAACTCGTCCTTAAAAAGTCCCCTCTTGCAATGCAAATTTGCAAGAAGATCTCAGGTCTTAAGATGTCTTAAGCACCTTGAGTCACCATCAGTGCCCATCAACTCACATCAATCAAGGAGTTTAGTCAAAGCTCAAAGGTAGGCATCAGAACCAGAAGGATTCTTCCTGCTGCGTGCTGCTAAACTCTGCTTGCTTCACAAGGAGACTCATCCCACTTACTGTACATTGGGGTCGGGGTACTCTTGGCCAGAGTTTGCCAGAATCCTACCTGGCAACCCCTCAAAATATACCGGAATCCGGGGGTCTTTTTAGGTTATCATTCTTGTCGAAGCATCCCCTGAGTGAGCCGCTCTCTCTCTCTCTCTCTCTCTGAGGACCATGCCATTCGGGGACTGGGCACCGCGATCGCGCTATGGGCACATGAGGCGAGCCGGGGCGGGAACGCCAGGGCCACCATGTCCGTCATGACCCCACAATGGGGACATAGTCGGTCAGAGATTGGATGAGTGACGTATTGGATCCAAGCTATGACGGTTTTTTGCACTCGGCGTTTCGCGCCGGAATACGCGTCGCGTATTCCGGGCCGATCCCATCAACAGTGGGCGCTTGCCGTCCTGATCCGCATGTGGCTTCTCGCGGCGCATGCCGACTCCGTAGGACCGGACGTCGGTCGAACTCGACGACTCCGTAAATGACAGTATACGTGACGATAAAACAACCGCAGATGTTGCAGATGACCTCTAAGCCAGTGCAAGGTGTTGCAAACGGTTTCTAGAAGTATCCGTGATCGGTGTGGAAGGAAGGACACATGTCAGGATCTTGCAACAAGGTCTCTTGGGACCCCAATAGCCGTCACGTCACGAGTTTGGTTCCCCAACATTCCCTAATTGATCAGAAGTACCTTTCTACAACAGTAGAAGGCACATTTTTTGTCTTGAACTGCCAAAAGCAATCTTGAATTGCATTTTTTTGTCTCCACCTCAAGCATCTTGAATTTGAGGTGCCCGATTTGTTTGGTCCACTCTCTTTACTTAGTGATCTCTACCGCTCAGGCAGAAGAGTGCGGGCCCTGGCCACGGTGGTGCAGCAGTATGGACCTGTTCTCCAACATGTTCTCTACTAGTAACAAGGGCATCGCTACTAGGAACAAGGGCATTACTTACTACTATAGTAGCAAGAAGCTACAAACGTAGCTATTTGCTACTAGTAGTCATGCCCTTGTTACTAGCGATGCCTTTGTAACTAGTGTATTCAGTCCAGGTCCCACCAAATATCTTCAAGCCCGTAGAGCTCAGGTGTGGGTACTGCCTGCCCAAAGTGGACGGGGGAGTGAATCTGATGAAGTCTGAATGCCAGCTCAGGGATGTGGTCCACACTGGAGTCCACACTGAAAGTTCCGTAAAGTTACCTTGTAGAAATTCCGATTATTCCACTTAGATCACCTTGATCGACCTTGTTCTTCTATTTAAAAGCCATCCTGGACTTTCTTTGTGAGAATCAGGAGATCAGCAAGTTTGGCCTTAAGTGTTGAGTGGGATATGAGGCAAGTAGCGTATGAAAAGTGAGCAGGACATTGTTTCGCAGCTTTGTGGGATAAACTTCGCAGAGCTTGTCACGAACATAGCATTGACTGTGACTTTTCGGCAGTCATACTATTTAGACCTAGACCAACATAGCGGATACCTTGCTGGTGGATCCACTGTAAACACGGGAGACCTCGGTGACGCAATTCGCCACATAGAGGTATCCACCATGAACTGTTCCGAGTGGACCAAACCCGTCCCTTGTCCCCCAGAGCGGTGGACCGTATTCATAGGAAAAGAGCGACCAACAACTAGCCTCCAATTCATTTTGCAGAGCGAATGATCTGTAGGCCCAGACTCTTGGCCTATGATCTGGAGGTGCCATATGCCCATCAGGCTCGGTGATATCAAACTCCTTCTTTCTTCCAGTCAGTGAGGTTTAGGAAAGCCGTCATGACATGGCATGAAGACATATGACGTGAGGGTTCGTGCATTGTCGCCATTCTGGCCTAAGGGCCCTTGAGCTTGGCTGATGGAGGCCATTCAGCGCGGCGTGGAGAAAAGTGCACAGCACTTGAGCGTTGTCGGTGATCCTCGTGTTCCAGTTGGATATCAAACCTTGGAGTCATCCTCCGCTGACATGGTAGCGGAGCCGGAAGGCTCAGTCCGACCGGTTCCCGCTGAAGGTCCCGGCCTCATCCGGGAGCACTGACAACAGTGCTGAGGACCTTGGACACCCTACAGTGGTGTTGGCCCATTCTTTGTTGTGCTTGCAGCTTTGGACGTTGTTTCAATCATAGTTGACATTGTACATTGTGCAGAATGTCTGGCATTGAGGGCAAAGAAGTTTTTCGAGATCTTACCTATGACGGCAAACCATCAGGCTGCAGAGAGTTCCGCAGAAAGGCTGTGTTGAGTGTCGCATCGCTGGAAGAGAAATCCATCCACCTGGCCGGTCCACGATTGTTCAATCAGCTGTCCGGCGAGGCGATTGTTGAGTCGGCTGTCGGGCGAAGCTTGCCATGGAAGGCAACAGAACACCTCAACGTCGCCGAATTGAGGACCAAAACCGGTTGGTTGCCTGTTTTGAAGTCTTTGGACAAGCATTATCGCTTCTTGCCAGAAGCTGAGCTCCATGAAAGCATTGAAGAGTTCCTGTTTCATCTGAAGCGAAAGCCATCGGAAGGGACTACAGCCTTTGCATCGAGATTCCGCACCTCATTGAGTCGTCTGGAAACGTTGATAGCTCAAGAGCGTGAACAGAGTCAGAAGAAGAGAAAGACAGATAGTGCTCGCTCCTCTCTCATTCCACCATCTTCGATAGAACCTGCTTCAGAAGCTGAACCTCCGGATCGACAAGATTCGGAAACACAGGATGCTGATCAAACCAATGAGTGGGAAGAGGAAGAAGATGGTGAAGCAGAGCCTCATGAGAGTGGTGCTTACCACACCCCTCACCATCCAGGAACACCTACATCTTCCGCGAGGGCCTCCAAGGAGAAGACGCCATCAGCTGGCTCCTTGAAGGAAGACACCCGACACCCGTCGTGCAAAGTTGAAGATGCAGCAAATGCTTGGAACAGTTGAGAAGTCACACTCCAAGCCCAAGCCTATCTTTCAGGAAATAGCGTGTTGGGGCACTTGTTCATGAAGAAGTTTGACATGTCGCGTGAGTCGAGGTCACACCTCATCCGTTCCACTGGCGTCTCAAGCCGTCTGAAGGACATTGAGCGTTTGATGAAAGCCTCTGACTTTGATGATGGTCATCGAGGTGACGAGAGGCGAGCCTTTGCCCCGCGACAGCGAAGGGAGACCTTTGCTGTGGAGAAGGCATTTTCTTCGAGTTCGCTTGCAGCCATGACTGACTCCAGTTCAGAACATGACACGCTGGAGGTTGCTGTGCAGGATTCGCTTGGCTCGGATTCGCATAAGATGAGCAGATTCAAGAGGTCTATGTAATGCAACAACAAGCCAAGAAGGCCTTCAAAAAGAGCTTTCGAACCTACAAAGAGTCCAAAAAGAAAGTGAAGGAACTGTAAAGCAGCGTGCTCCTTGCGTGGCAGTTGTTGCAGTTCCACCTCAACAAGCAGGAGAGTCAGCTCCTTCGCAGCAGCCTCATTCTGGGAAGCCGCCTCATGAGAAAAAGAAGTTTGGTGGAAAAGACCACAAAGATCGAAAACCCAAAGTGAGAAAGGAAGAAGCCCATTTGACAGACTTCCACTGGGACGAAAGCATACAACCAGGTGTAGATATTGATTTTTCTTATATGGTGACATCAATTCCTAGGGGGTGTGCAGTTCTGGATACAGGTGGTACAACATCACTTGTGATGACTCAAACAGCAGCGGCCTACATAAGTTTCTGCAGGCTCAGGGTTTGAGCCAACCGGAGGGTTTGAGCTCAGGGCTTGAGCCAACCGGATTCAATGGTGCTACAGAA